CCAAGAGGCGCCCCAAGACGGCCCGAGAGGGCCCCAAGACGGCCCGAAGACCAAGGATGGGGCCCAAGAGGAGGCACCCGAGCTGAGACGTCGCGCCCTCCACCCCAAGGGAGACCCCCCGAGCGATCGCCGACAGGCCCTCCAAGAGCACCAAGAGGCCCCACAGGGCTCCAAAGAGGCCCCCAAAAACGGCCTTCGAGGGGCGTCAGAGCTGCACTTCAGAGGCTCCCAAGAGGCTCCCCGAATGGTAATTACCTCTCGGGTACCACTCGGGCCATCTACTCGAATCCACAAGGGACGCATCCCAAGAACACCTCTGACAGACATGCAAAAAACCGCGTCAGGCAACCAACGCTCCCGTGCCCCGCAATCAGGGCACGGTGGCGGGATGTGCCGAACGCGAAAAAATAAGCACGCCGAATGTGTATTGAGGTGGCGCTGCTGCGGTTTGCTACCCAGGCTCTGGAGTTGCAACGTTTGTTTTGTCCATCGTTTGTCAATCAACACTCACAAGCAATCCAAGACTCCCAGAATAACGAGGAGTGGGAGGTTGGGACGGACTGCAAAACGGTGGGGACGAACGGTGGGGACGAGGAAAATGGAGGACGCGAGCGGGGAGGATGGAAGGCCCCTCCTCCTCCTCCCTCCTCCTCCTCCTCCTCCTCCTCCTCCTCCTCCTCCTCCTCCTCCTCCTCCTCCTCCTCCTCCTCCTCCTCCCCGTCCTCCTCCTCCCCGTCCTCCTCCCCGTCCTCCTCCTTTTTTGTCCCTCTCCCTCCTCACCCTCGCGGCCCCAGTCCTCCGCCCTCCCTCCGCCGTCCTCCCTCGCCCGCCCCCCTCCTCCTCGCGCCCACAGCGAGGAGCACCGAGAACCCACCCCAGAGACCAGCCAGGCAAACGCCGGAAGCCCCACGGCACCCCTCGGAGCCGGCTCCCTCCGCCCTTGGCGTGAGCCCCCCGCCCGAAACCCTCTTTTGGGGTGACCCAAGAGGGGGATCCAGCTACAAGGGGGTGGTGCAGCAGATCTGGGGCAATCGTGTTGCACACGTATTGCGCCAGAGAAGTGTATGGCAATTGTGCTGCAAGTCGTGTGCTGCACACGAAAAATTCCAGCAACACATCTGCGCCCCAGAATGTACTGCACGCCCCGAGCGCACTGCAACCTTACCGATCGGTTGCCCCAAATCTAATGCACCACCCCCTTGTCGCTGGATCCCCGTTTGGGTCCACCCGGCCTCTGGGGGCCGCCCGCCCGCCGGGCGGCGTTGTGCGCGTCCCGGGGGAGAGGCCGGGACGTAAGGAAACAAGAAGAGGCGCCATGAGATCTGAGGAAGTATCACTTGGAGGGATGCAAATGGGGGGATACGTCCAGATGGGGGGAGAGGCGCAACCGAGGTACAAATTGTTCCTGCGCCCCATGGATAAGGTACAATTTGTACCGACGCCACGCAGACAAGGTACAAATTGTACTTTTGACAACGTCCGCGACATGTGCGAGGATGTTAACGGGGGAGGAGAAGGTACAATTTGTACTTGCAACCCGCAGAGAAGGTACAAATTGTACCCCAACAAAACGGTACCGGATACTCATCCCCCCATGTCCTGATCCCCCCATCGCCATCCGGCCGAATCACGGCTCACGCCATGAGATCCACCCCCCCTATATAGTCACCACCCCCCTCTTTGCGGAATATTGCCAAATGGTGAGAAATAGTCTGGGGACGTGTTCCGAGTACACGTGCCGATGTTTGAATACCTTTTGACCACTCTTCATTTGGCCTCCCAGATCCGCCTCTGGGAGGACACGCCCGACCGAACTCTGAGGGCCGCACGCCCGGCCGGTCGCGGGACCTCCGCGCGCGCGCCGGCGCGCCCGAGCCCGGGGCCCACCGGCGGCTGCACGCCTGGCGGCGAAGGGCGCGGAGGTCTTACAGAAAGCGCTCTCGGCCGTGTTATTACGTCGCGGTGAAGCTTGCTGTCGCGTTGTTCCTGTTGTTGCGTTGGTCTTGTTCTCGTCGTCATCGCCCGCGACCCGCCCATAACCTACCCCGCGACTCAGCCCGCGACCCACCCAGATTGCTTTGACGAAAATTCGGCGCCCGCGTTGGGCTCTTTGTGCAATGTGTGAAGAATGTTCGCCTGCGGTGGGCTTCTTCAGAGCCTCACAGGCTGCCAACGACCCCGCCGCCCACTCACTCTGATCCGCAACTGAAGGGGGCTACGCATCCTCTCTTCTAACTCGCACAGGCCTTCTCAGTCTTCAAAGCCTATTTAGTAACTCCTCCGCATGTGGACTGCGATCGGGGAGCGAGCCACATCGCTAGGTATCGACCTACCCACCTGGCGCTCAGCTCTGGACTGCAACTAGCCTCGCATCGGTCGGTCCAAGTTTCGATCGAGCCCCCATCGATTTCTGGATGCCCATCTGGTGATCCAGCCGCGTTTGTCTCTCAGGCCGTGGTGGGTGCAGTCTTCGATGTGCGACTACCTTGTGATCTGGCGTCCGCCTGCTTGGGCGAAGAGAGGGGGGGCGCTCTCTCCACGCGACGGCGCGGAAGCGAAGCGGGATAGCGCCTGGCGCGTCCACTCGTGCGGGTCCGTGCTGATTCACCAGGCAGGGACGCCTACCCTGATGGTGGGGACCCGAGGGAGGGCCAAAAACATGAGGGATGGCGGGTCTGTCTTCAGATGTACCAAACCGCACCGCCGAGAACGACTATCCATGATGCAAAGACGGGGGCCTCAGTGAGGCCACGGCTGCACAATGTTATTAGGGTTTGGGTTTTTTGTCCTCGGTAACATGCGGCTGCGCTGGCAAAACCCTTGCCCCTGTCCGCCCGCAAGCGGAGAAACGAACGTGGCAACCAACACTGCTGCCGTGTACTTTCAATGGGCCCAGGGGTACACAAATGAATAGACACAAATCCCAGGTCCCCATATTTTCTCAGATTTTCTGGTTCTCCGTCTTCCCCCACCCCCACTGTCTATATTTTCCCATATTTCTCTGGGCATCGACGATTCATTGTATCTGTGTGTTGTTTCCCCTCCTGATAGTTTGTCAGCTTCGATGGAGCTGCAGTGTACAGATTGTGTGGGTCTGTTAGTACGGGATCGGGATGCGGCAGCTCATCCTCCTCGTGATGCAGAGTTCGGGATGCTCGAGCTCATCCTCCTCGTGACGTTCGGCTTCATCCTGCTCGCGCTCGTCGGGGAGGTCAGTGGCTGTGTTCATCGAAGTCCGTCGACGGTTAAGTCGGGCTTGTCCCTCTACGGGAGGATTGTTCAAACATAGTCCAAAAATGATACGAGGACAAGTGTTTGATCTTGTTCCCTACCTAGGCTCTGCCTAGAAGGGTTCATACTTTATAAGCTTAAAGGGCTGGGCAGTGGTCCACGCCCGGGGCGGTTCCCCCAGGATCCGCCCCGCGGTTCCCCCAGTGAAGTTCCCTTAGCTTAGCGTTGCTTATCTCATCTTAGCTTAGCTGATTTCATCTTAGCTTAGCTTAGCTTAGCTTCATCGTAACTTAGTTTTATCTTAGCTTAGCGTACCTTCATCTTAGCTTCGCCGAGCTTTAGCATAGCAGAGCACAGCATAGCATAGCAGAGCGTAGCACAGCACAGCGCAGCACAACATATCATAGCAAAGCCCAGCATAGCACAGCATAACGCAGCATAACATAGCATAGCATAGCATCACGCAGCACAGCACAGCATAGCACAGCGCAGCATAGCATAGCAGAGCAGAGCAGGGCAGAGCATAGCATATACTAGCACAGCGCAGCTTAGCATAGCATAGCATAGCACAGCACAGCACAGCATAACATATCGCAGCATAGCATGGCATGGTATAGCATAGCATAGCATAGCAACTAATGCTGCTTTCCTAGGGGCTCCAACTTCTAGGTAGGGTCGCACTGGGGTAAGTTCGATTATTGTTGAGTATGTTTTGACTATTCTATATGTTTCGTCCAAAATCAACCTGTATGGGGACAGGCCCGACTTCAGGCAACGGCGAAACGACAAACGGGACGCCTCCCCCGTCGGGCCCTCGCCTCCTCCCGCCGGCCACGTGCAGCGCGAGAGACCCGAGGCGGGAGCGACCCCTGGGCGCGCGGCTGGCCGATCGATGCCTGCGCTGCTGGAGGGGCCCGGGGACACACACGGTTCCCGGATGTCCGTCTGCCCCTCCGCAGGGCAGCCCAGGATTCCTTTAGGGAGCCCACAGAGGATGTACGCGCCCAGCTATGTACATGAGCACGGCCCCTCGATCTGCGAGACCGGCCGCGTGATACGAGCTTTCGGGCAATGCGTACTCTCGAAACCAGCGTGGACTCATGTACGTGTACGTCGTTCTTTCGCTCCTGATCCTTATTCCACGTTTCCCTGTCCTGGATGTCCGTCTTCCCCTCCCCCCCTTCCAACAGGTTCCCTGGTTTTCCGGGGCCTCGGCGATTCCTGGTGTCTGTGTTTCCCCCCTCCTGGAAGGCCGCGGCAGCGGCCTGCTTGCTTGGTCCTCAAGACGAAGCCAGGACGAGGATCGAACCGGGCGAGGATAGATCGAGAATCTTCGAGATGTGGGGGCTCTGGGGGATGCCTCGGGCGCGGCGGCCTTCTCAGAGCGTTCGGGAACGCTGTGAGAGCGTCCTGCAACGGATTTATCCTCGTCCTGGCCCCGCCGGACTCCTGGCACCCCTGGAACGCTCTCGGCGAGGCGCAGCTGCTGCGACGCATCCCGAGGCAGTGAAGCCCTCAGGAACCAGCCAAAGCACCCGAATAGGGTCCCCGGCGATACGCCATCCCTTGAGAGCGGACAGCGTGTCGCCCCGCTGCGCTGGGCGGGAGGCTCGGCCAATCTGGCGACGTGGACGCTTGGGGGCCAGGAAGTGGACAGCGCGTCGCGCTGAAACGCGGCGGACCAGACCTGGCGGAGCGACGCGCTCTCCCAAATCTCCGACCGTGCCCTCCCATCCCCCAAGACGCGCAGCAGATCCCCTCGCGGCGACCCCCCCGCCCACCTGTCTCGCTCTCGAAGGCCCTGACGGCGACCCGGCGCTGCTCCGCCTGGCAGCGGGGGGGGGCGAGGGCGTGGGGGGGGGGAGCGTGGAGCGCGCCGCGACGAGCATCTCAGAGCGCGCGAGCGGAGAAGGGGGTTACATTGCTTCTCCCTCCCTCCCCCGTCCCGCGTCCTCCCTCCTCCTCCCTCCTCCTCCCTCATCCTCCCTCCTCCTCCTCCCTCCTCTTTGGTCAGTCTGCCAGTCGGGATTAGGGCACCGTCGTCCCCTCCTACCTCCCTCCTCCTAATTGTCCTCCTCCCTCCTCTTCGGTTGGTCGGCCAGTCGGGATCAGGGCCTCAATGTCCTGGGACGCATCCCAATCCAAGAGAAAGGGGCAGTGGATAGTGCAATGGGGAACGCAGTCCCTCCTCTTCCTCCTCCTCCTCCTCCTCCTCCTCCTCCTCCTCCTCCTCCTCCTCCTCCCTCCTCCCTCCACTTCCATTTCTACTCCTCCCTCCTACATCCTCCTCCTTCCCCCCTCTTCCTCCTCCTCCTCTTCCTCCTCCTCTTCCTCCTCCTCATCCTCCTCCTCCTCATCCTCCTCCTCTTCCCTCTCCTACTCCGTCGTCGTCGTCGTCCTCCACCTCCTCCTCTCTATCTCTCTCTCTCTCTCTCAACCTCCTCCCTCCTCATCCTGCTCTTCCTCATCTCTCCGCCCTCCTCCTCCTCCTTCCTCCCTCCACCTTTACACCTCCGCCTCCCTCCTATTCAAGCACTTCTCATCCATCCTACCTCATCCTTCCTCGTTCCTCCAAGCCCCAAGAGGGGCCCAAGAAGCTCAGACTATGGCTTCCAAAGCGCCCAAGAGGCGATCGAGAGCGCTCCAAGAGAGCCACCAGAGGCAAGTGTTTGCTCTCCAGGAGCGGAGGGGGGCGCAATTCCCTCCATCTTTTCACACGATGGTGTCCAGGATGGTCCCAAGATGCCCCTCAGGGCGTCGAAGAGGTCCCCAATCGGACCCCAAGCGAGCCTCAAGAGGGTCAAAGGCGTCCACAGTGGTTCCAGGATGGTCCAAGAACCCACATGAGGCCTCCAAGAAGCTCGCGGAGCGAAAGGTCTTCCACAGATCCTTCGGGGCGGCTGTTCCAATGCATGTCAACTCGCATGGCGATCGCTTCTGGATAGGCTGGCGGGCGTACGGGAAGCGTCGACAGTGGCCAACAATCATGTGCACGAGTGGAGGGCTTCGCCTCAGATCTCCACAAACTAAGCGACCACAACCTCGAGCTGGTGCCACACGTTCACGGGTGAAGGGCAGATCAGTTTCAAAACGGAGCTATCGTTAGCCACTTGCTTGAACACTCTCTTCAAAGCGGAGCAAACGCCAAACACTTCCTATCGGCGACCGGGTCCTTCTTCACAACGCGGCAGCACACCTCAACGGTCGGCCCGCCAGGCGCTCGGCATCGAAAGAGGCCGCTTTCTTCAGTGGATAAGCATGCTTGCAGTCACGTGAGAGGAGGACACTTGGGACGGGAGGACGCATTGCAGCATCGTTGACTCATCCTGGGTCTACTCTGGTCCACATCCTCCTCCTCCTCCTCCTTCTCCTCCCCCTCCTCCTCCTCCTCCTCCTCCTCCTCCTCCTCCTCTTCCTCCTCCTCCATCCTCCTCCTCCTCCTCCTCCTCCTCCTCGACGACTTCGCTGGCGCGCGGAACGCGCCAGGGCAGGTGCCGGCAGCGCCGCCAGGGCGCCAGGAGGTCCCAGGCGCTGATCCAAGGCATCCGTGCGGACGTCCAGAAATGTATGCCTATGCAGTCTGTTCTTCTGCGACCCTCCCAGCGCAAGGGGGCAGGCTCTGGAGGCGCCGCCAGAGGGTCCCAGGCGCGCCGAACCAAGGCATCCGTGCGGACCTCCCGAAATTCATTATCATGGCGGCGGCCTGGGACCCCCTGGCGGCGCTTCCGGCACCTTCCTTGGCGAGCTCCGCGCGACAGAGAAGGGGTCGAGTGCCTTGCCATGGGATCCGCGCGGACACCCGGCAGTGTATGTTTGTGCAGTCAGTTGTTCCTTCGTTCAGACCTTTCTTCTTTGATCCTCCTTTCCTCCTCCTCCTCCTCATCATCATCCTCATCCTCCTCCTCCTCACCTCCTCGTCCCTCCTCCCTCCTCCTCCCTCCTCCTACTACTCCTCCTCCTCACCTCCTCCTCCCTCCTCCCTCCTCCTCCCTCCTCCTCCTCCTCGTCGTCCTCCTCCTCCTCCTCCTCCTCCTCGTCTCCTCCTCCTCCTCCTCCTCCTCGTCCTCCTCCTCCTCCTCGTCCTCCTCCTCCTCCTCCTCCTCCTCCTCCTCCTCCTCCTCCTCCTCGTGCTCATCGCTCCTCTTTTCGTTGGGGCGGCAGGGGGGGCGGCGGCGGAGCCTTCTTGGGCGCCCTCGCCGAGCGCGCCAGCAGCAGAGCGGCGCAGGCGCAGAGCCCGAGTCCTCGCGCGGGGAGGCCCGGAGGGAGGGGATCGAGCAGGGACCGGCCGACCGCTGCAGCTCAAAGGCCCCCACCTGGGAGGACGAGGAGGGGGGGAAGGAGAACGAGGAGGGGGGGAGGAGGAGGGGGAGGAGGAGGAGGAGGAGGAGGAGGAGGAGGAGGAGGAGGAGGAGGAGGAGGAGGAGGAGGAGGGAGGTGGAGAGGAGATGGAGGAGGAGGAGGAGGAGGAGGAGGAGGAGGGGGAGGAGGAGGAGATCACCAGGAGATCACCACTGAGGACCAGTGTCCTTGCCTTGCCAGAAACAGGGATGTGCAACCCACATCACAGCAGAGATCGGGCCACTTCAGGCGCCCCCTGGGGGCACGGGTGCTGGCCCTTAGAAATTCGCACGAGGTTACACTGTCCCTTCTTGGAGCGCGCCGCTCCCGTGACGGCGGGCCCGCAAGGACGCGAGAGGTGGCGTCCGTCGAGGGTCGCAGTGAAACCGCACAGCATACAAAATTTCAGACACATATGATCCCAGGACCAAATCTGATGGCTGGGGTCAACCATTCGGCCCCCCACCCACACCGTCCCCGACTCCCGCCGAATGGTGACCCCAGACATATTGGGGGTGGTGGCGGAGGAGGAGGAGATGGGAGGGGGGCGGCACGGCCTCCTCGCGGCCACCTCAAGGGCGGTGGTGGTGGCGACCTCGCCACATGTGGAGCACCTCCACCTACCACCTGCGCGCTGGAAGGCGTGGGCGGAGTCCCGCAGAACCTGGACTCTGCGGGAGATTCGCTGGCGCGGCACGGCAGGGCCCTTCCACTCTCCTTCCCACGGATCAACAGCAGCAGTGTCCTGGAGGGCCTGGGACGCACGACGGCGGACGAGCCAAGCGATCACATCAAGCTCGTCCGTCCTCGGCACTTCCTTGGACGCGGTGGCTAACTGAAAACCGCGGGCAGCAGCATCGCTAGCGAGGTCATCAGCCACGGCGTTTCCAAAAGACAGGGAGGCCTGCCAACGGGTGCGGATGCTCCCTTCCTCATCCTCAAGATGGGAGGGGGTCCAAAATACACGGACAGGGTGGGGCCTCCGAGCGCGCGCCTGACGGATCCTCACCCAAAGGTCTGTATTCTGCTCCTTAGGAGCCTTCCGAACACCCCTCCCCATCTGCCAGGCTCTATACAGGGGGAGGTGATCGGTGATATAATCGAGGGGACCATGGGTTAACTCCAGGGCCAAACAAAAAGCGAGCAACTCCGCGCGCGGGGCCGTCTGTCTGGGGCCCACGAGAGGCGCAGAGGCCGCCCAAACAGTGCTCCACGAAAGATCGGCGACGGGGTCCGCCTGGAGAATGACAACTCCCGCCCCACACCGCCGACGACGCGGATCACTGGAGTACTCACCTCCAGATCCGTCTCCAAACACGATGAGGGGGCCCTGGAGGGGATCCGACACAGCAGCACTGGGGTTCCCCATAAGAAGCAGCCCTTTCTCAAGCACAGAACCGAAAACTCAGGCACCACCTGCTTCTCGGGGGGAACCCCTCGGGGCCAAAGGCTGGGCTCACTCTCATGGGAGGCCACGGCACGGGCGAGGAGGCGGCCACTTTTCCTGCACGCATCATGATCACAGTTGACACAGCCACACACGGTGCAGGAGCGTCTCGGGCTCCCGCCCACAACGTCTGCACAGCGGCTCCGTGGCGTAGCCCTGTGCACGTTGTCGTTCACGAGTCCACTGGCCTCCAGACACCACTGTCAACGTGAGGCCCCAGTTATCCATGTCCTGCTTGCGTTCGCACTTGTCAAGCTCACGCTTGATCTGAGAGAAATCAGCTCCATGTTGTAGGTCAGCTGCTCCCTCAAACTGACTGGCCTTCCTCCAAAGCTGGTGTTGGAGGTCTGCCGTGAATTCATGTAACATATCGTGAAGATCGACTTGCTGGTACTGAGGTGTGCCCGCTCTGGGGAAGATCCATTCAATGCCAGCAATAGTCCGAGTCCAAACTCCTGGTTGCTTGCATTCCCAACCTGCATCGACCAAGGTGGCAATAACTGCAGCAACTGGGCCACGAACTCTCTGCCATCTAGCCTTGCCACCGACCACTACAGCATTGTGGATGCGCAACCATGCCCAACGAATGGGATCGTGGTATTGAGGATTGCCAAACCAGAGACGAAGCCATGCCTCCAAGAGTTGACGAGGAAGTTCAAGTCCTGGGTCCCGCTGAGCAAGGGTCGCTTCCAGCACCGAGGTCAGGCATCTGCCTCGCTTGGCACCTGCAATGGCCGACCCTGCCTGGCGCCTGACCTCCAACATTGTGCTGGGAGGCGCGCCAAGAACTTGATGGCCGTAGCAACCCTGTGGTAAAACTCCCGCGCTCCAGAGTGAACCGCAGACTCTGCGAACTTTGGGTCCGAGACGACGGAGGCGAAGAACTCTACCGTGACGCCGACGAGCTGCTGCCAGACGTTGGTTAGCCTTCTTCTTTACTCTCCTGCGCCCAGCACTGACATCAACGCCCAGGTCCGTGGCCGCCAGCTCGTAGGATACTGGGATGCCAAGTCGCCTCATAATCCTGGCCATGCGGAGGCCCAAGGACTTGGACGACGCAATGAGATCAGTTTTGTCCGGGACTACCAGCCTGCACTCCAAGAAGGCCGCTCTGAACTCGGCTGCAGCCTCAGTCATATTGGCAATAACGATCTCTTCATCATCATTCTCATCGCGTGCCGCAGTGTCATCAATGTAGGTGGCCAGCATAGGATGTGGGGCGACCTTGTGCACCCTCTCCAGGATGGGGTGGAGGAAGACCTTGGCGAGTTGATCCCCTTTGGGGCTGCCTGCCACCAACGATCGGGTGACGATCAGGAGGTCACTCGCCCACTGCTTGAGCTTGAGGATCCTTGGGGCGACACACATCTGCACCTCCATGAGGACCACAATGGCAGGATATCCCACCTTGATGGCTGTGCGCATAAGGATGCACAGCGATACACTATCGTAGAACTTCTCCAGGTCTAGGAGGAGGGTCAGGAAATGCTTCTTGTTGACCAGCCCCACTTCGTCGAGGAGAGATCGAAGCATGGCGGCCCGAAGGGCCGAGGACCCCGCCAGCGCCGTGTCCCAGAAGTCGCTGAGCCCCTTGGACCATTCTGCAGCTGGTCCAACTCGAGTCTGACTCCAAACCTTCCCAGTGGTGGGGAGGAGCCCCAATACTCTATCTCCGCCTCTGGGCTTGGCTGCCAGTGCCCCAATCGTCGCATGGATCTGCCTCGGCCATGAGCCTATAGCTTCCGCACGATTGAGGAAGTCCACTAGCATCTGCTTGCCTGCCACGGGTAGCCTGGCAATATCGCTCACGCTGATGTTATCAACACCCTTGGCCTTGTTGGCCGACATACGAGCTAGTGCATTCTCCAGCTCCTCTAGTGTGATGGGGTCGATGTCCTGCTTCTTCGCCATCCGCAGCGTCTGACCGATCTCGTAGACGATGTCTTCCATGGTGTCAACTTTGTCCGTCCAGACGTTCTGCCAGCACTTGTGGCGGCTGTTCATGATGAGAGCAGGGTCGGCCATGCCTTCAACTTCCGCGGTATCAGCCTGGGGGCCCTTCACATGACGGTGCAAGATCCCAGGCTTCTTGGACCACGTTTCTCGCATCCACTTCATGAAGCTGTGTTGGCCCTTGGCAAAGGCCCGTGCTTGAGCTCGTCTCTCCAGGAACTCCGTGCGGTCGTTAACCTTGTCCAAGAAGTCGAGGGACAGGGTTGCCTGTGCCGGTTGTGCTGGGCCATCTTCAGGTGGAACTTCTGCTGGTTCCAGGTCGGCAGGGGAGCCAACTTCCTCCTCGTGTTCAAGCTGAGCGAACACGTCATCTTCATCATCCATATTAGTGCGACGAACCAGCCCGCTGTTGCCGTCGATGTCCTTGCGCCGCAGGTCGGGCTCGCTCCCTACGGCATTCGCCTGGCCTCCCAACTGTCCCCACTCTGCTCCCTTACTACCGCCCCTTGCGGGGTTGGTGGGCTCGCATTGTGGGTCCAGGGGCTCTGTAGGGGGGCCGACCTGCAGCAATGAGGCCGAAGTAGACGAGGAAGCCGTCGCTGTTGCGAGTCCGCGGGGACAGCCCCCGACTCCGTACACGTCTTCCAGCGTGCACATATCAACATTATGCCGCATCTGCATCTGTGGAGAGCCTCCTCGCACCTCCCCCTCACGCTGGCCAGGCAGGTCTTCATCATCATGAATAGAAGCCCAAGGTGCTCCCTGAGGCTCGCCAGGACGACGCCCACCATGACAATCTTCACTACCTTGGGGGGCCAGAAGAACTTGAGGCGTATCATCGCCACGTGGGGAAGTAGATGGCCTGGGTCCGCGGGGGAAGCCCCCGACCCCGTGTGCCTCATCCAGGGCACACATACGTCTCGAAGCCGAAGAGGAACGAGTAGCAGCCGATGCCGTCCCTGTGGGTCCGCGGGAGCAGTCCCCGACCCCGCGTGCGCCCCCCAGCGCACACATCTCTTTCGAGGCCGAAGTAGATGGAGTAGCTGCCGACGCCGTCCCTGTGGGTCCGTGGGAGCAGTCCCCGGCCCCGTGCGCCTCTACCAGGCCACACATACCTCTCGAAGCCGCCGGGGTTGGAGTAGCAGCCGTCGGAGTTCCTGTGGGCCCGCGGGGGAAGCCCCCGACCCAGTGTGCCTCTACCAGGGCACACGTAGTCGAAGCCTTCGACGATGGAGTAGCCGTAGCCGTAGCACTTGTGGGTCCACTGGGGAAGCCCCTGACCCCGTGTGCCTCACCCAGGACACACATATCTGGAGATGCCGAAGCCGCACCTTCCTGAGCGAAGGGAGTGCCAGAGACTGGCCAGCACTGGAAGGGTGGAGTGCGGCTGATGAGCTTCATGATGCCTGGGTCGAGGTCGGAGTGGTCTGGCGGCGGGGCCTCGCTGGCCTTCTTCAGGGCCATCACTGCGAAGTACTCAGCCTGGATCTGCGACTGGTCCAC